TTGCTTTAATACAAGAGTTCTGTGCTCAGTTTTCTGGAGTCTACATACTTTGACAAGCTCGCGGCAGCGAGCGGAGCCAAACTGACCTGTTATATGTTAGCTCACCCTGGTATAAACACCTATTGACATGATTGAAGGATGCCCCAGAAGCAGGGGTAGGAGCGCTAAATAACAAGAAGATGATCGCTAGCGGGCCTGCAGTTTAAAAAAAAGAAAGAGGAATCGTCAAAAGGAGAAAACAGAGATAATCGTTCTGCGCGCTGGAGGAGGACAAGCGGTAGAGGTAGGTAGAGAGCGAGAAAACGTGATTATGGATGGCAAGGAGAAAAAGTTTAGTACGAAATGGGAGATCAACAAATGTACATATAAAGTTGTCTCATAGGTACGTAAAGTCATTCTTTTTCAAATGTGAGCTCTTCTACTAAAATTCCACATCTTTGCTTTGTTCTACATGCCACCCGGAAGAGACATCTGCCCTACGTAAGAGTGTACAGAGTGGCCACAAATTACGGTAACAAGATGGAGCGGGCATGGAAAATCTGTACAGGTAGAAAGAGAGAAGTGGAAAACAAAGAAATGCTCACTGAAGGTAGGGTAGTGAACGAAAAACCAACTACTGAAATGAGACAACGCCTCTGTCCAGTTTCATTTCTTTTCAGTTTACTTGCCCTATTGGAGAGCTAAGCTCCTCCACGCTCAAAGAATCTTCCACGGAAAAACATCGCCTCCATTCCTACAAAAAAAAAACGATACCTTAGGCCCCTTGCTTCATGAAGATAGCAAAAAGAACGGAACATAGGCGATGGTTTTGATAATAATTATGATAACCAGTTCGACTATGAAAATTTTGAATTCCCGCTGTAAAACTTCCACAACTGTTAGCGGCGTGGAGTCAACACGTGCAAACGTGTCAAAAGCGTGAACGTGAACTGGATTCCCTTCCCATAAACTGACACGTGGATCCGCACCTGCCACGCACTTCGTCACAGAAGCACTTCCGGTCCCGCCTACTGGTCCAATCCGGTCCCACAGATGGGTCTTTCCAAGGGCTGTTTCTCTTGGGGGTTTCATCATTTTCGCTCTGAACTTTGCATATGGTCTTCAATGACCATGCCCAACACCTGTACACAAGGAAAGGATAAGCAGTCTTTCCGTGGAAGATTCCTTTAAGTGCCTTAGCCACGAGCTGTCTTCTTGTCAAATAAGGGCACCTGATCGCCAACGCCGGAACCCAACGACTTGCTGAATGTGCTCGAGCCCATTGCTGCCTCGCCTACTTTCTCAATATTGTTCTCGGTAACAGATTTGCTTCCACGTCCAATCCAATCGATCCTAGCACCTATTCGATTTGTTCGCAATGGTGGTTATTGCAGGTTTCCTGAAAACCCTGATCCTGGCATCAACAGACAGTCGTTATTTTATGAAGAGCTAAGGGCTTGAGCAATGCAAAAAATAAATTTTGAAATGGTTGAAATGAAATTGGTAAAATTTGAAGTGTGGACATCGTATTAGAAGTAGAACGAAATGCGCGAAAGCTACACTCAAGAATTCATGTGTTTAATTTCCAAATTGTATCTGGTAAGCTCTTGCTACCGCAATTTGTGGGCCACCCTGTGTGGGGGTGTAGTGGCAGCGTACTATATGTGATACGGTTACCTCGTCCGATTTTCATGAACCTCATTCCAAGCAGCCGTGTCTTCTCATCATATCTATCGTATCTCCTATGGGGTTGCGCTCGTCCGACCATTATTTCTCTCAGATCTTATCAGTTGATAATGCGTATAGCAGCTCCACCTCGAAGTTAGCGTGGTCTCTTCCCATAAACGGAGACTCTGCCCTGGTGCCCTGGTGTGGCAGCACAAATGCCCGAATAGCTAAGGTGCGAATTTAAATCCCTTCTAGGACGGAGTTTTTGCCCATGACCCTTCTTTTTGATAGCTTTCAATAGCGTGACTGAAATGAGATCCGTCAGACTATTTTTCAATATAGCTGGGTGGTTCTCCTTCTTGAATTCGCTTCTGCCTTTCATGTATCATGATTTGCCCAGGACGAAACTCGGACGGGAGTCATGTTCACTGTAATAATTAGTGACTAACATTGCGTGCAGCTTCTATAGGACGTTCCACTTATAGTGGAACGTGTATCCGATTTGTGTTCAGAGTGTCTAAAAACAAAATGCAAGGAAGGTGCAACGGCTAATCACTGAATTGGTTGAGCTTTTCTGAATTACTACCAAGAAACGATTGTGCTATATATTTGAATTAATATCTACAAAAGACATTGTTGGAAAGATTGTTTCGTTATGTCTAATTTACTTTTCAAGATAGGAAAACGGCAAGCCCTTGGATTAGGTAAGGAGCTGCGGAGGTTCGTCGGTCCATTCGTCTCAGAGAGCTATAATCGTATGGAGGCAAAGTACTTTTCCAGCTCGGCAAATCGTTGTCAAATGACACTTCAGGTTCGCTTACATTTCATCACTGCTGAATAATTAATTAGAAGCTTTTGGCAAATGCAGTGATTAGCATCCACTAGTTGGATGCTAACCACGCCATAAAACGGTATCACAGTGATAGCCCTTTCATCAATCCCAACAAAGTGGAGCAGTGGTACTGTTACAGGTGGTTCTTGCTGGCTTGTATAGACCTGTTGGTTGGGCTGATTGGGATCCATCAAGGAATCTCGTGTGGAGCCCTGTTCCCTACACCATCGATGACCCAATGCTGCGAATGTATGCCGTGAATGAATGCAAAAACAGCGACAAAGGTAAATAAAGGTTTTCTGCTCTTCACGATGAAACCAAGAATAGGAATGAAATAGGGTAGTAGACCGGAACATTAAAGGACGAATTCACGATGAAAAGGCAACCCATTTCAAATTAACTAGGGATGGTGAGTGGTACACGAAAGAAGGAAGAACCATGAGAAACGGCCCAGAACCCGAGAAATGGGACCCCTTCCTTGCCCGTTGATTTGAGCATTGATGCGACTCTCATCGCTGTGCCCTCTTCAACACTACGCTCTCTCTATCTAATCACTCGCCACGTATAGACCTGCGGCGAGTGATCAGATGATCGGTGGGCGTGCACTGGCCACCGCGCCAAGATTGAGCCTTAATAGGTCGCCGAGGTCAACTCCTTCGGTGCCAATTGCGCTTCAGTCGCACCCTTAGGAGGTCCGCGGGTCCCTCAGGTGGATTACTCTTCGACTTCATTCTAACCATGAAATTCGTCCTTCAAGGTAAAGCTACTACTTAAAGGACGAATTCTCGCTGAGAGGTAACCCATTTCAAATTAACTTACCGATGGTGAAAAGGACAAGAGCAGAAACAGTTGATTTTTAGCAGCTGCGCGCCGACTATTACTAGGAAAGAACTAGCTACGTTAATAACTAACCAATTGACTTCAGTACACTTGACTGCTAAATGTAGAACATGTGTGTTTTACTCTTTCTGCTACATAACGCGAACAGCAATAGAAAAAACTTTCATGATTATGAACTACTCTTATTTCCCCTATGAACTAATTTTTAATACGAAGAATGTTAACATTTTTCTGAAGTAACCCACGCCGGATCGCTTTCTTTGACCATCCAATCGAACACAAGTAGGTTGAACTAGGAATACATTTTAGAATAGAAGCTCAAAGAGCTAACGCCCTGCGAGCCCGCGACGAGATAGTGGCAGAATCTCGATGACGAGACGTGGAACACTGTGTCATGCCAAGATGATGCTCTTGCGAACAACGCGTGCTTTTTCGCACGATCACGAGTGGATTACGTTGGTGTCTGCAGGGCTTTGCAGACGCCGGTGCGCCCAGGGTTTTGCCGGAGCGGTTTTCGTGGTACGCGACAGGGCTCGTGAGACCACGCCTCTTTTTCACGCGAGCAAAGCTCGCTGAACACTGGGCAGAAGTGTGATCAAAAGCAGTTCTTCTGTTGAAGCTTTCAGGCAAAATACCAAATACTACTACAGTTTTTGACTCCCATTTAATATATTTTTGGAAAGAGATACAGAAGCTCGGAAGGAGAGTTACGATTTCGAAGAGATTGAGGGTAAACACAGAAAACACTCTACATGTTCATGTGTACATGGAGTTTTTGATGCAATTGAATTTCCTCCATGTGTCTGATTTTGATGAAAAGACGATGAACTCCTGATTAGTACATAAATTAGAACGAAGCTTGCCTCGGCCTGATAATGCAAAAGCCCAATTAATGTGCTGGCTGGCGAACCCAATACCACATTTTGAAATTTGGCACCAATCGGTGGGTGCCATTGTCGCTTAAAGGTTAGTTTTAGTATTTTGCCCGTAGTTTGAGTATCTTGAAATTCTGACGTTTCGGAATGTAAATTGAAGGGATTTCAAAAACTTCAAGGATTTTTACAACTGTTTCCGAGTTTTATCCCGTTGTCACATTGTTGTGCAACACACTAGGCAAAGGGAATTCTAGCACACTGCGCCGCACAACAAATCGCACCTTTGTAAAAACCTAGTTCTCGGAAGACGAAACTTTTATTGTTTTGGTTGTTGATATTAGATGTTCTGTAAAGAGTTACTTTTTTCAAAAGGAAAATTTTTCATCGGCATGGGAGGTCTGGGCGGAAGTGGTGTAGTGGCAAGTGGCACGCTTACCACGCGAGCGGTCCGGGATCAAATCCTGGGTCGTGAGTCGCCCGGGCCAACCAAGCCTTCCATCCCTCCGGGGTCGGTTAATTGGTACCAGACTTGTCTGGGAGGATAAAAACACTGACTTGTACATCGGCTGGCCCCCGCAAGTCATTGTATAGGCCACATCGCATTCAAACGCCACTACGAATGTACAAATGGAAGTAGAATGCGTGCCGCATCCCAAAAAGGGATTGATCAACGGCAAATGCTTTATCCTTTATCCTTTTTGTGGGAGGCCTAGCTTGAGCCTAGTCTTCTTTGAAAACTGAACGGTGATGTTTTCTCTACTTCACGACTTCTCCCAAACACTACTAGGTTGTTGAAAGAGTCTTCGTGTTTTTTTTCGGATTTCTCCGGTTGACCGCTGAGCTACAGCGGTTTCTGAACTGATATTTCCCTCTGACCCCACTCTTTCATACCTCTCTCGCTCTATTCGACATAAATTTGTTTTATTTTCATTATGATTTAGGTCGAATTTCAGAACGACACGATAAGGTGTTCAGTATTACTTCAAAGAGGAAATTCTTCCCAAAATATAGGTAAATGTATCAGGCGTGCAATTCAAAGCGCAGTCATGGCCTCTCCTTGGAATTTCGCTAATTTCAAACGTCTCTGCAGTAAATAGTTCACGTGTTGACTTGACGACTGGGAATAAAGTTGGCCTGACTTACCCAACCATCGACTTCTGGTGGAAAACTAAATTTGTAAAGAAACAATTCTACTTTTGGGATATCTTATAGCAAGATGTTCAGAAGAGGTCATGACTGGCAGGAAAAGTTGTTATGTCAACCCTGCCAGATGAAATGAGTGCATTTTTAGGCGCATCATGAGACGCTGAAGCTCAAATCTGCTTTCATTATCTGCTGAACTCTTCTCTGAAAGGAGTTACGGAGGGTTTTTGTTGCCGCCCTTGATTTTCAGTGACTTGCCTGCAATCACATGTAGACCCTTTTATAAACGTTACAAGGAAGCACGTGCCACGTGTTTGGCTTCGGTGGTGTAGCTGGTAGCGGTTTTGCTGCTTAACCCTTTGACTACTGGTGGGACACATGTGTCCCACTTCGTAGTCAAAGACACTACCACAGTTTCAGGAATATTGAGGCAGGAGCGCTCATTTGATGGCTGAATTGTGCACATATAGAAGCTTTCTAATTCTTACTATGACAGTTAATCGTCAGAAGCTAAAGCGAGTCATCCTGCGTAAGTTAATCTTTGACTACTGGTGGTACACATGTGTCCCACTTCCGTAGTCAAAGTCACTACCACAGTTTTGGCACTTATTATTGGCACGCTTCATGACGGAATTGTGCTTCTTCTTCTTCTTATTCTTAGCGTTTGTCCCGCTTGTTGGCGGGGTCCGCTTTTCTGATGTGCTGACGCCACTTTTCCCGATTAAATGCTTGGTCGGGGTGGATGTTAACCAACTTCAAGTCTGCGTGCAACGTATCGAGCCAGCGCTGTTTCGGGCGCCCCTTGGGCCGCTTTCCGTGCACGTCTATGTTGAGGCCGATCTTGCGAACACTGTCATCATTTCCGCGAAGAACGTGGCCATACCATCGAAGCCGAGCTTCGCGCATTTTATCAGCAATGGGAGCTACACCAAAGCGTTCTCGTATGACATCGTTCCGAACGCGATCTAATCGCGTGACACCAGCCGTCCAGCGCAGCATCTTCGTCTCCATTACACCGAGGCGAGTTTCAGTGTCCCTGGTCGCTGGCCAGCACTCAGCGCCGTACAATGCCACTGGTCTTATGACTGTCCTATAGATCTTCGATTTGAGGCGTTCTGGGATTTTCTTGTCACAGAGAACTCCCGTCATAGAACGCCACTTGGACCAAGCCGCACTCACACGCGAGTTCACCTCAGTACTCATACTGCCATCAGACGCGCAATTGCTGATCCAAGGTACTTGAATGTCGTTGTACGTGTCAGCTCTATTCCATTTATTTTGATAGAACCGCACTCGCTCGTGTCGGTTGTCAGGTACTCAGTCTTCCTAACGTTCAACCTGAGTCCGAACATCGCTAGGCGATCGCACCAAGCTTGCGCTTGTTGTTCGAGTATGAATTCTTGACACTTGCATTCTAGCGCTACTTATCGAATCTTATCAGCTATTATCACCTTCTATGTTCTCGTCCCATCCCCTTATGTATAATAACTTAGAATCAACTCCTGAGGAATGCTGGTCCGGGACCGTTTCTTAGGGAACCACCATGGCCCCCGAAAATGTGACAGTTGATGGTGAGGTGTGAAATAGGATATCTGCAGCATCCCTCACTAGCTGGTCCAACTTGTGCAGGGTTGGTTGTGCGATATGCGTGTAAGACAACTGTCAGAGATGTGTCCGTCCCTTTATAATGAGAAATGCTGAACCCGTATTTTGAAGGTTTCGGTGAACTGACATAATGTTCAGAATCCCTCCACTGTACAGTTCTACCTGATGCGGGGGAACTTGGCCAGCCGCTGACCTGATGAAAGTTGCCCCCCCCCCTCAGCACAGTTTAATTTGTGCAAGGTTTGTAGAGCTTGATCGTTCAGCAAAGATTTCGTAGGCTGTAGAGAAGAATCCGCTCTTAATTGTACGTTGCAAATCTGTAGAAAAGCGAGTCGCATTCATCACATAAAACAAGCTACAATTTGATGGACGACCCTTCAAATTGGTGATTTGTCGCGGCACGCCCCTATCAAATTTTTTGGACTTTCCAGCTACTTCCGTATAGCTTGGCTCTACAAACCATATACGTCCAGGTTGGGCAGAACCTCAATGGTCTTACGCACGAGTGCTTCAATCAGAACTTTTGGCTAATCGGTGGCAACGTCCGATATCCGACCACCACTCTCATCATATTCAAGGCTCTCTTTCGTTACAATAACTTTTTGAACTACTGATTCTAGCACATTCATTGCGAATCTACGCCTATCTTAGACTTCCCGGTACTTTCAGGTCGGCTCAAAATTAGAAAAAATCGTGAAAACTCACTCAGTAAAAAAAAGCGTGCCAGCCTACTCGAGCATACCGCATTCAAAGTAGAGCAGGGAAAGCTCGTCAAGGTGATATCCATACCGATGGCAGTCTCTCTGGGTTCCTCTAAAATGAAGAATCCAGATACGGTTGTGTCAGGAAACAACAGAATTTTTCGAAACACTAAATGTAAAGCGCTATGACTGTCTCTTTTTGTGTATCCGCGTGTGTCAGAAATTCATAGCACGTCTGGCGGCGCTGTTGTTGGTTCGTGATGCAGACAGTGGGACGATAACAGCTTAGTGGGGGACCGACAGTGATGACGGTTCGCTTTAACAAGTGTGGCGGTAACATCTTTCAAGGGGACAGAAAGTGTTAAAACCTATCAAGTGCTCACGATATCCATGTGCGTGCAAACAAGAGTTCACTCAAAACCAGATTCCAGATGAAAAATACATTTACTTTTTAATATCATTTCATTCACGTTGTCATCATTATCATCAAGTACCATTCGGCTGTAACCTTCCCAGAGTTTCTAAGAGTGTATGGTGGGTGTTTAAAGAAATACTATACAAAGGGCAGAGTATTTTTATTTCGAAATCATTAACATCAAGTGTCATCCAATCGCTACATTATGATAACATTCGACAGATGGTGGTTGTTTGCAGGCACCAGTTTAGCTCCAAACGCCACCGCGCGCATGAAATCGTAACTTTAGCAAAAGCGAGCAAAAGCGAAAGTTTTAGAGCAGTCAGCCATTGCATTAAACGTTGTAAATTACTGTTGGGTTAATTAGCGGTGGACCCTAAAGCTCCAGTGGCTGCACAATTTTGCCTAGACCTACCCTGTCACGCGTGCGGTAGCGTGCAGAGCTAAAGCGGTCGACATTGGGAGATGATGAAGATGACAATGAGGCTTATCGATAGCATTCCCTCCCTCATGTTCTGCCGCTCGTCCTCCTTTCCGCTCCTATATACAGGGTGCGCCAAAATTACGGAGACAGCGATTTCGAGTCGCCTAGAATGAACACGCCACAATTCCAGGAAGCCAAAAATGCAGTAACGTTCACTGTTCAATAATGAATCGTAAACATCTGCCAAATCTCAGAAATTCCTTCGTTGGCACTTATACGGGCCTTGAGAAGCAGTGAGGAACCATCGGCGGTGGCACGCAAGGTAGTGCGTAGAATCCGTTCTACGTATTCTGAAGCAATTCTTCAAAATAATCCCCAAAAATGTAAAGTTCCATGCAAGCTTTCAGCTTGCAGAATCAATTCTACAGTGTAAGCCATTTATATAGAATCTGAAATGCTGACCAACTCGTTGAAAGTGATGAATTCGACAAAATTGGCTCTGACCCAGTTCAGCACCACCCTTGCCCTATGGAAATCCCTTCCTTATGAAAGATCAAACAATGTTTTTAAATCTTAAGATGGCAATTTGCTTGGGAATTCTCAAGTAATCTCCTTAATGTCCATCTCTCGTGACATTCGGCGGAACGAGTGCGCGAAGTGCCACCAAATTCTGTTGCGCACCATGCTGACATTGCTCGTGGCCGTCTCGGAAACACAGCCTTCCCATCCAGAATGAGTGCATTCGGTTCCTTACTCCTTGGAGCGTTTAGTGGATCCATGATTGGTACCCAGGTAAAAACCAAAACGCTGATAATTCTTGCGTGCCGGAAACTCTCAAAGTTGAAGTTCAGTGATCTAGAAATAGCGGCAGAATCACTCAGCCATCGTAACAATCATACATATTGGTGGTCAAACAAGATAATTATGAACAGGTCAACACAACTAAACCAAAATGAGCGCAGCAGTAAACAGCATCTTTGAATAGTGGTCCCAATAGTGCGCGGAAGTGCTGTCTCCGTAATTTTGGCGCACCCTGTAGAGGGACGATTGGATCCACCTGTCACTTGACAATGTTTCATATGTTGAGCGGTATTTGTAATACGACTTCAATTGATCTAAACAAGGGCTTACTTCTAAAATTTTATTAGGGAAGTTTTCGAGAAGTGTCTCCTTATCCAGTCCTGAATTGTAATATTTAGTTTGGAAGCCGATCGAAGAAGACTCATTGCCAGATTTGGCTGAAGCAAGAAAGAAAAATGCTGCTTTAATGGACTATGTTGGCCAGAGGACGGGATGGAACATGACATCACTAGGAAAACTCGCTGATCTGGCCGATAATCTCATCGAAATTGTTCGTTGCAATTCGCTATAAAGACTTCCTGATTGCAAAGAGTTAATTTTACCAATTAAGGACATGTACAATGCCTCATATCCGGACTGGCTCCTTCGTCCAGAATTGCCAGGTTACGATAAAGACAAAATCATCAACGAAATAATTGGGTTTTGGTGGGTTTGATTTCGCTTTCGAGACAGTGACATCCTGTAGTACTCCGAGATTCTGGACGACTCTGACGGTTTAGCTGAAATGCCGCAAATCGCCTGCACCAACTATACCCCGTGTCGTGACCTTATGGCCGGTGTTTGGTTGGAGCATATTTTAAGCTCTATAGAAGGAGCTAGAAACGGGTCCTCTCAACGGATTGTTGGATATGCTTCGGTATGAGTTTTCAGTGAAACATTTTGATACCGTATCGAAACTGCTCTCATCCAGCACACCGAAGTGACACTCGCTCTCATGAAGCTCATTGGAATAGAACGCGAGGAATTGACCACGTCTGCTGGCTTTGTTATTGAATACCGGTACGCTTCTACAATAACCTCCATAAATTGATGATATCACTGTTGAATATCGGTACGCTCCCACAACAAATCACATGAAATGATTATATCAGTGTGTTTTGTTCTGTCACTGCTACGCCCAGCCGGTTATTCATTATTCAGCCGGTAGCCGGTTATTGTTCGGAACCCATTTCATCAGTCTGGCTATTATATGCAAGTACACATTTTACAATATGACAAACACTGATGCTCAGAATGTTCGAAATTACTCCTCTGGACCTGCTCATATTGAATATAAATAATGAACACTAAATGTATTGTAATCCTCAGAAGTACATTTTCAACGCCATGGCCGTTAGAGTTAGTACGAGGTGAGGTAGCCGCTCTACGGAATCGATCTGATGGGATGGTCAAGGCTACCGATAAATTCGTCCTTTTCACTTTCGGGGCAACCGGCTTGCGGTGCGTACACGGAGAGTATGGTCCAGTACCCCTCCTTCGTGTCTATCCTCACAGCCATGATCCGATCGCTGATCCTGTTCACAGCGGAGACATAGTCCTTGAGCGACTCCGCTACCGCTATGGCCACGCCGTTCCGCTTGGTGTCTTCTCCATTGTAGTAGAGTTTGACACCTTCCCCGATTTCCCTGGCCTTAGCACCTTTCCATCGCGTCTCCTGAAGGCATAGGACTTGGATATTCCTGCGCGTCATCAGATCAGCAACCTCTCGGGACTTCCCAGTTAGCGATCCTACGTTCAGAGTCCCTATTCGAACTAGCTTCTTTGGCCGAGGCCGTTCACTCCTCGGTAGCCCTCGCATACTGACCACAGAACTCGGGCGGGGTTCTGCGCGCCACTTCCGGGTGACGTCCTAGCTTTATCACTGATTCTTTTGCGACTTTTAGACATGGTTGGTGTGACTGGGGTCTTCATCAGCCGGCCTGTCAACCTGGGCCTGACGCTGGTACTAGAACCATTTTTGCAATTTTTGCAAGGCATGGTTAACCTCGGCAGGGATCGAACTCGCGGCTTTCAGAGGTTGCAGACCTGAGTCTACACCGTCAATGGTTCGGTTATCCATGCCTTCGAATAACGAGAATAAATCCTAAAGGAAGCGATTACGATAAAGAGGGAGCGCATCGCGAATGCTTATGCCCCAACTTATGCACGAAGCAATTACCCTAATTTCCGGTGTATAAGCCCGCGCCGATTTCACGTAAAACCACCCCCGCTCGTGCAGTGTAACTTTGTACACCTTAGAAACTACCGCAAATTTGCCTATAGAGGTAATTCGATGCCCTGATTCACGAAAATGACTTTCATTTTAGCGTGGCGCCATTGGCGCCACCTTGTCACGACCCTGTTTTCACCAAATTCGGTGTAAACTTCGTATAGGGGTTATTTGGTGTCCTGATTACGAATATGACATTCATTATGGCGCTGGCGCTATTTGGCGCCTATTTTCTGCTCGTCTGCGCTCTCCAACCGAGAAATATGCACTGAACAACGTTAACGCCAAAAACGAATGTCATATTCGTAATCAGGGTCCCAAATAACCCCTATACAGAAGTTTACACCGATTTTGGTGAAAACAAGGGTCGTGACAAGGTGGCGCCAACTGGCGCCAGATGGCGCCACCGCTAAAAATGAATGTCGTTTTCGTAATCAGCATATCGAATTACCCCTATGGGCATGTTACGGTTGTCTCTAGATGTACTCAAGTACACTGCACCAGTGGAGGTGTTTTTACATGATACTAGCGCGGGCTTATACACCGGAAAATAGGGTACTTGGCTGCCAAGAGAGAAGTGTGGCGCTTTCACAACGAAAGGTGCGCTGGTTGCTGAGCAGGACTTCGAAAGCACTCCGCCCCCAAAAGCGATCCGCCCACTAGTTTACTTGTTGATTTGGACGAGCTGCGTGGCCAGCAGCGGCGCAAATGGAGCATCAAAGCGTGTTTGGCATGGTGCCATCAAACGCGTTGCGGTGAACTCGTTCATACGTCCACTTTCTGAGCTGTTACCTGTTCATGAGTGAAACCAACGGCCAAAAAAAGGGGTCCCGTTTTGCGTTTTCTTGACGGATTTTTCCGCTTTTTTCGCCTGGCGTACCACTGAGCACCACCACGTCACACTAAACCCTTCTCCGAGTTCTCGTTATCGCTGCCCTTAAATGATCCTGAAAACCTTAAAAAATAATTATTCCTAATCTCCCTTCAAACTGGATTAAATAGAGCGCATTGCGTGATGCGTGGCACAAGTGCTCAAACTCGTTTTCCTGTAGAATGATTGTGTTGCGTAAGAAGCTTACATTGCATCACGTACGAACGATTACTTCTTGGGATAAAACCTGCGTGCACGGCGCCGCGCCAAATTAGGGTCTTTCAAAACTCGAGAGCAACTTCTTACAGAGCTCTACTCTCTGACGTGAGCTCAATGGTGCTATTTGAACAAACGTTTAACCGACTCACAACGATAAAACGTAAAAAAGGTGGAATTACATTTTCGCATGGATCCCTGAGGTTTCATGACGAGTACCGCTGGTGAACCCTTTATGCTATTACGCGCTTCATGTGGTAGATTTCAGTGAGGTTGGGGAACCTGTCATACACAGGCAATAATACTAGCATGTCCAGTGCAAGGTCTCGTCATGGAGTGATCAGTCTGATATTCCTAGCTTACCCACGCTCACTAAAGCCTATTGAGTAATGCGCGCGATAACGCGTGGAGCTAAACTGATAATTTTAAGAACCCTTAAAGCAACAATCCAGGAACGAATTCGCGGGTAAGGACCACCTATAATGACGTTGCAGGTGAGAAGTTGGTCAATGGAGATAGAAAAAGTAGAAAAAAACGTCGGGCAGGGGCTTAGACAGGGACTCCCCCTGCCGTTTAGGGAGACGTGTGTTGGACGAGTTGTCCGAACCTGCCCGTAGTACATGCGCTCCAAGTTGACTGCTGGCAAATAGCCATGCATGCTTGCAAATACATAACTATTTGCCAGCAATCGAAATTGAAGCGCTTCAATTGCGTTCTTATGGAATCGACCTCATACAGCGCGGCGGTCCCGCAACGACCGCTAGTCGAGCAAGCGCTCTGCACAGCGAATGTTGGGCGATCCGCCTCTTTGTACAGTGCGTTTCATAATTATAAGCTCCCCCTCGATTTTTGCAGTTCTCAAGCAAGCAGCTAAGATGAAATTATTTGGCAAATATCTGCAGATTCCTCATCTCAAATAACCTTCGTATTCGAATTTGGGTTGCAATACCGTTCACCTCAACTTTTTTATAAAATTTTTTAAGTAGGTATTGGTTTTCGCACCGTTTCATAATTATAAGCACCCCCTGGGAACATGAACAATTTATTAATGTAAATGGCATATGTACAACAGTTAATAATCGATGGCTCCTCCTTGTTTGAGCGCAACATCAAAGAGTCTACGAGGCATACTAGAAACTAGGTTTCGAAGCAGTTCTTCATCAATTGCTTTCCAGGCTTCGACGATCGTCTTTTTCAGCTCTTCCGTACTCTGGAACTGACGATTGTTCGCGTAAACCTTTCTGACTATGATGCCCCAGATGTTCTCCATCGGATTGAGATCGGGACTGCAGGCTGGCCATGGCAGAACGCTTATGTTTTGGGATCGCAGCCATTCATTTGTTGAACGACTTACGTGAATGGCAGCGTTGTCTTGTTGGAAGACATAATTATGATGACGACCCCGGCTCAGAAAGGGCACCAGATGATGCTCTAAGACGTTCTGGTATTCCTTGGAGTCCATTCTGCAGCTCACGAAGGCTAGCTCGAGCACGACGTCATTGCAAAATGCACCCCACACCATCACACTTCCTCCACCAAAATTGCGACGGCTGAAGTGAACCGGCTCCTTGCGCAGGTCACGCCAGTAGTACTTGTTTCCATCAGGTCCGTCCAAATTGAACTTTTTTTCATCCGAAAACACGACCTGAACGAAATTGTTTAGCTGTATGGTGAGATTGTGACGCAGGCTTACCTTCGTCCAATCTCTTCCTAAGTTCAACCTTGCAAATTCTAGTCGAGCCTCTCTGTGGCGGTCGGTAATCCGTGGCGCCTTCTTCAAAGCTTGCCTGACGATGTCCTCGCTTCTCCTCACTGCTCTCCAAACCGTAGTTTTTGACACGGAAAGGTTTAACTCCGATCGTATCTGGTTCAATGAGGAGGTGCTGTTGGAAACAGCCCTCAGAATTCTTCGCTCATCGTGGGCTGTAATCTTTCGTGGGCGTCCAGAGCTTGTGTTGCATCTGTAGACGTCTTGTCTTTCCAATACTCTTCGAATGGAGCAGACAGATCTTCCTAATTGTCTGGAAATGGCTTTCTTACTAAGCCCAGCTTCACGAAGAGCTTTAATCTGAGCCTGTTCATCAGAAGATAGCAGGCGACCCCGAGCCATTTGGTGATAAGAATTGGAGATGCATTTGCTACATATTCTAGCCTTTACAAGTCCCTTGAAACACGAATTTTCTTGTCCTCCATAATTAATTGTTTATTTTCTCAGGGAGGGCTTATAATTATGAAACGCTGTAAAATTGAAAAAACTGTTATAAAAAAGTTCAGAAAAATGATGCTGCTGCCAAAATTTGGAAACGGGGGTTATTCGTGCTGGGGAATCCGTTGATAATGCTAGAAAAATTCCTAAATGGCTACTTATTCTGGAACTGCAAAATTTGAGGGGGAGCTTATAATTATGAAACGCACTTGTAGCGTCCG